GGGGACTCACCTGTGCCCTGGGCAGCAATTTTACCTCAGATTTATCTCATATTGACCCACCTCAGTGCAGTGAATGCCACAAGAGGGACAGGTTTGTGTGGCTGCCTGCCCTCTCCTTGCAGGGATTGCTGGTGGTTAATTGAGCTCTCAGTTGCAGCGAGTGTGGAGCTGGAGTCCTTGGCAGCTCAAGGAGCTGAAGCGTGGGTTTATGGTGCTTTGTCCTGCCCTTAGATAAGGGACTTTATCAGCCTGTAAAAATCCTTGTGACATGGTCACTTTGAGGAGTCTGTGCTGCTTGAGACTGGTGAAGGAAAAGAAAAAAGGAGAATATTTTGTCTTGTAAATTAAAGTCAGCTGCTTGTAGCAATTAAGGCCTTGATCAGATAATGGTCAATGAAACTACTCTTGAAAAAGTGAAATGGCACTTTCTGGAATTCAGTGTTGGAAGTGACAATTCCCAGTGAGTGGGAGCCTGAGACCATGGACCAAGCATGGGCTCTGTAGCCAAAGAGAAGCAAATTCTCTTTCAAGAATTTCAGGAGAACCTTCATAGCCTTAGCACTTATGTATTGGGTGTTATTTAGGTCATTTTGCTACAGAAACATTTAAAATACATGAAAAATTAAAGATGGCTTTAAAATACCTGCTTGATGCAGCCCTGTGTACTTTTTGCTTTGCACAGTTATTGTGTGGTGATTTTTAAAGCTGCTCAGCCAGTGCCTTCCAGAGCTGGAGTGCTGTGTGTTTTCCCTGGGGAGGAGATTAAATGAACACTGCCTTTCTTACTCCTATTGATTGTGGAGATGATATTAAATTAAAATAAGCCACAAAACAACTTTGGATTTCTTCTGCGAGGAATCTAATAAATTTTGTTCAATATTCTTCATCTCATTTTCTCTCCTTCTGCACCAGTGCAAGGCCTCAAGCCCAGCAGAGACAGAGTCCTGTCATGTGCAGATCCATAGGAAGTAAAGGATGTTTTCTTTCTCTTCCTGACATTAGATGTCAAGTGGGATTGAGCCTCTTGCTGTTATTTTTCATTCAAGGTGACGAGGCAGGACAGAATGGCAGGAGGGGAGCACTGTCAGCAGCAGGAGCAGGAGTTTACAGGAGGTGTCTTGGGTTTTCCAGAGGGAAAATCAGAGCAGGATGCTGCAGGCTTTGGTGGTGTCACCTCTCCTGAGATCATTCCTGGTTGTTGGATCCTGATTTTGTTTTGTACCCAAGGGGATGTAAGGCATGGGCACCGTCATGGGGGAGCTCAGCTTTTTCTTCTGTGTGGGAGCTGGTTTGGGATTATTAGGGAGGTGAAGAAGAGCCAACAAACAAATCCAAAGGCTCAAAACCAAGAGGATATAAAAATTATAGCATTATTGAGTAGTTTTGAGTCAGAAGGGACATTTTAAAGGTCATCCAGTGTCCATAGGCAGGGACACCTTGCATTATCCCAGGCTGCTCTATCCAATCTGGTCTTGGACCCTTCCAGGGATCCAGGGGCAGCCACAGCTTCTTGGCCACCCTGTGCCAATGTTTTATCACCCTCATTGTAAGAAATGTCACCCTCATATCTAATCTAAATCAACCCTCCTGCAGTTTGCAACCTTTCCCTTTGTCCAATCACAACAGGCCCTGCTAAATAAAAAATGCCTCATGTATTTTTAAACCTGCTGGATTTTGAGTGCTGGGAATTTCCAGGCATGTTTCTTCTGGCACAAATTGCCCCAGATTCTGCTGCTTTCTTATTTTTCACTATGTCCAAAAAAAGGAGCAATCCACACTAATTTTCCTGTACCTTTCCCATCTCTGCTTTGCCTTAAAATAGAAAGGACAAGTTTTCTTGCTGGAGGTCAGCACTTATCAAAGTTTATGAGATCAGAGTGGATGATAGTGCAGCGCAGGGCTTCTTTTGGCATCCAAAGCTATTAAAGCTTCCTTGATAGAAATCATATTTATTTGAGCTGAAATGAATGCAAACCCAGCCATAACTTACCTTCAGAACAACAAAAGATACCACGGGAAGGAAGAGTCCTGCCGAGCATAAAATAAACCCAAAAAAAAGGAGGAAAACCAGTTAAATCCCCAGCCCTGGAGGGTTTTAAAATAGGTGTGGATGTGGCATTTGGGGACATGGGTCAGTGGTGGCCTTGGCTGTGCTGGGGTGGGCTTGGACCTGATGGTCCTGAAGGTCTTTTCCAAGTGAAACAATTCTGTGATTCTATAAATGCACAGTTACTTTCATCTGCCTGAAATAAATCCTTCAGTACTCAGCTGGATGGAAAATCTTGCCCCAAACCTCACTCTTCTTGTGCTTTGACTTATTTCAGGCTCTTTTTTAAGGCATAACCCCAATGCTGCAAATTTTGGTCTGAGTAAAGGAGGTTTTTTCCTGATTTTGGCAGTGGGTGAGTGCTGGTGGCACGTCAGAGGGCACAGGTGAAACATTTGTGACAACACAGGACTGTGTTTGTCATGGCTGGTGACTGAGGACTGGTAATTAAGGATTATTACTAAAGACTGCAGCAGTTTGGGGGATTCAGGGCTTATTTGGGGGGATTTTCCAGCAGCAAAGGTCAGAAGAACCTCTTGGAGCCCCAAGAGCCTGTCACATAGATCCCTTACAAACGAGCAGGGGACTTCCCAACACCAGGGCACACAGAGCCATCACCATCTGTGCCCATGGCAGGGGACTGGGATGGTCTTTGAGGTCCCTCCCAACCCCAGCCAGTCTGGGTTCCACTAAACCATGTGCCAAAACCCCATGAAGAAACACAGGAAAATACACAATTTTAGGGGAAATACACAAGAAGTGAGCTGGGGTTGGTTTAGCACCCCCGGCCAGGTTGTCAGGAGGAAAGAGGAGGAATGTGGAGCAATGAATGTCCTGGAAAAGGCATAGTTGTCTTCTGATGAGCTGGAGAGAAGGGATGTTTCTGATTTAACATCCTCATCATTAGTGCTCTGCTTGCAATCACTGGATCTGCAAATAACTTTCTAAGGAGCTTCTTGATTGCTGGAAGGGTTTAGATATTCCTGGGTACGATGAAAACGCAGTTCTGTGTAGCCTAAAAAACAACCAAAAAAACCCTGTTAAACTGCTGCTTATCCAACATTAACTACAGCAATTTTTAATTAACCTGATTTAGAAGCCAAATATATCACTGATGAAAATGAGAGGGTAGAACATCCAGTCATTTATTCCAGTACAGTGGCCATGATTGTTGAATTAGATTTATTCAAATGAACCTCAACATTTTGCCACAGAAGCCTGTGGTGCCCGGGTTTGGGAGCACTGGGGTTTGGGCTGTGGCTCTTTTGGTGCTCAGAAGAGGGAAATACAGACCCATGCTGGCTTTTATTTAATAAAATGAAATATTAAAAAAGATGGGTGTAAATCCACTGCTAATTACCTCCTTCCAGCCTTTGCTGGCAGCCAGCAGGCAGCATCAGTGGGGCTTGGCATGGAAACACTCTCCAAGGGCCATTGCACTGGCTCTGCTCTGGGACGCTGGCCAAGGGGACACACAGATAAACCGAGGGGTGACACACACAGAGCCAAATTGTCCACCAGCAAAGCAGGGTTAACGTGCCCTGCTCCCTCAGCAGCACCTAAGGAGGATGGAGTTGCTCAGGTGTTGCTCTTTTCTGTAGGGAAAACCTGCAAGAAATTGAGGGAAATGAAAAGCAAAATGGTGAGCAGTGACAGGAGCCCAGGGAAGGGCTGGAGCTGTGCCAGGGGATGCTCAGGTTGGATTTTAGGGAAAGGTTCTTCCCCCAGAGGTGCTGGGCAGGGAATGGGCACAGCCCCACAGAGCTCCAGCAGCACTTGGAGATCACTCCAGGGATGCACAGAGTGGGATTTGGGATATCTGTACAGGAGCAGGAGTTGGGCTGGATGATCCTTGGGGTCCCTTCCAGCTCAGGACGTTGTGTGATTCTGTGGAAAAGGAGCAGACCAAGGTGCAGAGGTTGTGGCTGTGCTCTCCACAGAGGACAGGAATTTCCAGTGAGGTAGGAATTGGATGCTGGACACCTGCACTATAGTAGGAGTCCCAGTAAAATATCTGTATTGTATTTGAATATCTGTGTACAGGCCTTGCCCTGATGAGCCCTGGTTGTTCTAGATGGGCTGCAGCTGTGATGTCCTTCATTGGGCTGGGATAAAAGGGGATGGGCTTGGCCAGGCAGGGACAGCCTGGAAGGAGCCCTGACCAAGAAGCAGTAACAGGCAGAAGGTGAAGTCTGTGCTGTGAAGGACTGCCCCCAAGAAATATCACTGAGAAGGTACAGGACTTCAGAAACATGATTGCGACAGTATGGGACTCTAGAAATCAGCTAACAGCATGCACTGTGTGGGTGCACACAGGCTCTGGGGTGTGCCAGGATTTCCAGCCCCTCACTTCCCTCACACAGCTCCCCTGAACTCCCCCAACCTCTGCCAGTGAGGCTGATGCGAGCTGAGGGTGCTCTGCAGCCCTGCCCAAAGTGCCCATTAAACCCTGCCTGGCTCCAGAGGGCCCTTCCAGGTGGCCTGGCAGGTAATCAGGTCCCTCCTGGGAGCAGCACTGTGCAGCCATGGGTGAATCCAAGGCTGGCATGTTTTCCTGCAGGATCCCTGCCTTCCCTTCAGCAAGGCACTCTGCTTAATGGGAGTGCTGAGCTCTCCAAAGTGCTGCCACGCAGCCCAGGAAATCCTTTCCGATATTGCTGTGCTGGTGGGGTTTTGTACATGAATTCCACGTTCAGAGTATGGATTTTCCCAGCAGTTTTCTCCAAAGCACAGTGAGCACACCTGCATTCTGATCCTTGTTTCCTGCAGAAATAAGGATGAAACATTGATGATATCACACATGGAGCACATTCGTGGTCCTTCCTATCCCCAGGGAATCCACCTGTGTTTTCCCTCGGTGGCCTCTGTGCTCACACAGGTTGTGTATTGCTTTTCAGGGGTGCCATCCTTGCTGGATTGATAAAATCCTGATGGTGTTTTCCTCTCCTTTCAGGTTATCCAACAGGCTATCCCACTGCTGCCCCAGCCTACAATCCCAACATGTATCCAACCAGCAGCCCCGGCTACGCCCCAGGTAAGAATCCTCAGAAAGGCCTCAAAACATTCCTTGCTCATCCATTCCCAAGCACTGCAGATGAAAAATAATATCTCACCCTTCACTTTGACTTTTGGTTGCTTGAGATGTTTATTCTGAGTGGTTTTGCCTCAAAAGAGCTGCAGGGTTTTAGCCCTTCCAAATGAAGCTGCCTTTGGAGCTCAGTGTGCAGCAGAAGAGCTGGACTTTGTGCCAGTCTTGCTAAGCCCTCTCTTCCCCTTAATTGCCAAGTTTTCAGTCCCCCAGTTGCCATAAAATCAGTGGCTCCCCAGGCTCAGGCGCTTTCCAAGGCTGATGAAACAGGAATGAGGGGTTTGTTGCCAAAATCTTTTGGTTTTGTCTTCTCCACATCACAGTTTACACATATTCCATAAAGCTGTTTATTGTGGATGATTCTGGAAGGGATCTGTTGTGTTTTGTTTGGGTTTATGTGCTTTTAATAAGGTCTTTAGCTGAATTTTTTCCCATTAAAGCCTTAACATGGAACATGAAACAATTTTTGTTCCCCTGGATTTGTGCTGGCCACCCTCCTTTCCCCTGAAGGATAAAACACTGGAGGAATTAAATGAAAACAGCTCCATAGAATAAGAAAAAGCCCATAAATTTATTAGTAGCTTGTCCTGCCAGAGGCTGGCAATGTCCTCCCTGCTCAGCCAGGAATGTAAATACTGCAGCATTCTGGCATTTTGGCCTGGATATTACAAAATGTCACTTGTCCCCAGTTGTGCAGGCAGCAGCTCCTCCACTCACATGGGCACATGGCCAAGGGAACACCCAAGGGAGAGGAAACCCCAAAGCACTCAATGATAGGGATTTTTGGGGGGTCTGAATTGCTTCTTGTACATCTTAGACACCATTTAATAATTTCCATCTTGGAAATCTCCTGATGTCCAGAGAGCTGACAGGTCAATTTTTATGGAGAACAAAAACCTTCCAGTGGGTAACACAGCTAAGCTCTAAACTAGCAAGGAAACTATGAAGATTAAAATTGAGAAATTAAAACTGGAATGAAAATGCTGAAACTTTTATAGAGTTTCCCATAAATCTTGAGACCAAGTTGGAGAGACCTGGTTTAGGTAAAGGTGTCCCTGCCCAAGGCACGGGGTTGGAACTGGATTGTCCTTAAGGTCCCTTCCAACCCAAACCATTCTGTGGTTCTGTTACAAACAATTTTTGCAATCTTGAAATCAATACCATTTAATATCACAGCAGGATTTTAAACCATTTTAACCACTCTGGGAAGCAGAAGCAGGCTCTGCTGCTCAGAACCTCCCAGCACCACACTCAGTGGTACCTTCTCAATGGAAAGCAGGCTTCCAGGAGGAAAAAATAAGGGATTCAGAGAGCTAACTGATGGAAAAGAAGTGCCATAAAATCTCCCAGCAGTGGGGACATGTGACAGAGTGACAGCATCCTCAACTGTGCTAAATGGAATTGGGCTGAGCTAATTCTGTGGTTCAGTGGCTGAGCTAAAACCTCCATCAGTACAGAGAGTGTTTCCTCAGATTGAAGGAGCTGCTGTCACACAGGAGGCTGGAAAAAGCCTGGAGAGCAATGTGGTCCTGGTGTCCTTCAAACACACTGGGAATCAGCTTGGGGGCCAAAATCTTGGACTTCTCAAACAGCAGACTAATTCTAAATAAGGGATTAAATAAGGGATTTTAGACATTGAGTCTAAAAAAAAAAGAGATGCTGCATGTTGCCAGCAGAATAACTGCTCCTGAACATCCCATCCATGGACAAGGTCCTGTTCCAAAGCTCCCAGGCTGGGCAGGGGGTGCTTCCTGCTGGCAGAAATCCCTCCAGCTCACTAAAAAACAGTCACAAACCCAGGGTTCATCTGATTCTCCATGTGGAGATTGCCCAGGGAAAGGTGCCCCTCAACACTGCTCGGAACAGAGCTTGTGGTTTCTGAGTTCTTGGGAGGTACCTGCAAGCAAGGTCTCTTGAGCAGAACCATTCTGTCCCAGCTTGACCACCCTCTCTGCTGCACCCTGAAGATCTCCTGCTCCCTCTCAGGTGCCTCTTGCCTCAAACCTCAGGAATTTTGGTGGATTCCATGCAAAATCTTGGCAGGAGATCAACCCCTGAGCGAAGATAATTGCAGTTTTCAAATCCCACCTGCTTTTGCCCCTGATGTTCTCCAAACACTCCCTGAAGCTTCACTGGAAGTCAGCCATGCCTCGTGCTCTTCTCTTGACCTCGTGGTTCCCAGAATCCTGGGATCCACATGGGCAATTCAATGATGTGGTGACCTAAGCTTTGCAACAGCATCAGAGGGAAACAAGGACAGGAACTTGGAGAGGCCTGGAGTTCTCTTGTTTCCTCCAGTGAGGAAAGGGAAATGGTGACTGGAGCCAGTCTTGATTTCTCCCTCTCCCAGTGCCAGGTTTCTAGTGAATATTTGCTGGTGTTTGAGCCCAAAAGGTGTTAAATTATTCCCCAGATTATTCCAAAGGAGCCCTATGAGCAAGGGCATGAGTTGGACTAGATAATCCTCACTGATCCCTCCCAACTCAGGATGTTCTGTGATTCTATCAATTCCTTTCCATTCACTTCAATTCCTGCCCTGTGTGATTTTCCTGCTGCATTTTCCACAGTTTTTAAAGGGAGAGACACAAGGCAAAACACAGCATTGCAAACTCATGCTTGCAATAAGCCTGTTTTTTTAGGACACTGTTCTTAAAAAATCCCTTTTAAGTATGCAGAAATGAGCATCTAAAATCACTCTGCTGCAAGAGACACAATTAAAAAAATATAAAATTATGTATGTCTTCATTAAGCCTGGTGCATGTTCCCTCACAGGCATTCTGTCTTGCTCATGGTTGTTTTGTTTTAACTTCCTTCATTAAAGCCTCCCTTTTTTATTTTCCTGAAAGTAGGACACACATTTTGCTCGTGGAGGCTGAAGCTGTGTTTATTAATAATGCAGGGCAGAAGTAATGGCTCTGCAGCAGTGCCCTCACAGAGCAGGACTGAAATCAGCCCCAGAAATGAGGGATCTGTGTGGGAATGTTGTGGGGCAGGATGGAGGCTCCAATCCCCCATTCCTGCTTCTGGATCCTGCTGGAGGAAATGCTGCTTTGCAGAAGGGAGCTGGAGCATCAGCAGAGCTCTGAGCCATCCTTTAGAGGTGCCCACCCACTCTTTGGGGACACCAGTGGGTGCCCTAAGGGGTATCTTGGGCTCTGGAGAGGTGAACATCCTGTAGTGCCTCACAAGGCTTTCCAGGAATAAATGCTCTCATCATTTTGAGGCACTCAGGCACAGGACTGCCTGGGGAATTAAGCTTATTGCAAACTTTGTTCAGGGCTGGAGGCTGTATCCATCACAAATGAGGTTGTTCAAGGGAAGCAGGATAGCCTACAATGCTTTGAAAGGGTTCATAATTTTGTTTTTTCCACTTAAAATATGTCCTGAACATTTCACATGTCATCTAAAGGTCCTGTCAGGAAAACAGAGCAGTCCCAGTGCTGCAGAGACCCACAGCTCACTTTGTTTGCTCAGTTCCCACTGGTTGATTTGCCAGGGGTTAAACTGATAATTAACAAAAACTCCTTATTTTATTTCTATTTATGTGAGAGGATAAACCAAATCCAGAAGACACTGGTTGGAGTGTCCCTTAAATGGCATTAGATAGTCATGGCTGGATTGTGATCCCTGTGAATTATTGCAAAGGAGCAGGAGGTATTTATGTTCCTGAAACCTCCTTGGTCCACCTTTTGTGTAGTTCTAAGTGATGGATTCTCCAAGGATCTGTGATTTAATAAAGAAAATGCAGAGCTGTGGCAATCTCCCAGCCATCTCCAACCCAAATTGCCTTGATTTTGTGGCAGGTTTAACGTGGAGAGGGAAAACCACAGAGGAAGGATTCGTGTAACATTACAATGAATTGTCTCATCAGTCTCAGAGATTAAAACCTCTGTGAAATCCACAGGCAAAAGTGAATCTGATTCTGAGTAAAAGCAGAAGTGAGGGAGTGTTTCTGTGGCAGCGCTGGGAGTTGCTCTCCAGTGTGATGTTCCTGAGTGCAGCCTAGCATGGAAAATAAAGCAAGGCAGCCTGGAAATCCTTAATAACTCCCAAACCTTTGGGAGAGGGCAGACACTTGGAGCAGAAAATGATCAGTGACTGAGTGCAGGAGAAATTGGGCTTGAACCTCTGACTCCCCACAAAGCTCCTGGTGTTCACTTGGAGGAGGAGGAGGGAGGAGCAGGGTTCCACATCTCCAGCCGTGGACCAGCATCCGGGTGGATCTCACACCCATGAGTATCTCCCACAGCTGCTGATGGCCAGCAGAGCAGCACTGCTGGGTGTCCTCTGTGCTCCCCATTCCTGTCTGAGTCCAGGAGAGTCTCAGGGGGGTTTGGTGGACCAGCAGACCTGCAGCAGTGCTTCGCTGCACTCTCTGGGAGATGGATTTCCATCCTCTGGGATGTGCTGTGCTGCTGCAGGCTGTGGCCCCAGTGCCAATTCCTCCTCAGCCTCCCAATCTAGAGGATTGATCCCAATCATTGCCAGCTTGCAGCCCTGTGACACTCCAGATTTACAGCTGTACCTTCAGAGAGGGTTAATTCAGAGTCTCAGCAGATGTGGAGGGTGGGGAACATCCTTGCTCCAGGAAGATTTCCAAGCCCTGACTGAGATGTGAAGTCCCTTCCGTGGGGCTCAGCACCTCAGGGGCAGGAACCTGGAGGGAAGAGATGAACCAGGTGATTGCAGTGTGACCCAAGTGTGGGAAGCTGTCCCTCACTGCTGTGTGACACCTCTTCTCTGTCCCCACTCCAGCCACACTTCTGATGAAGCAGGCCTGGCCCCAGACCTCCTCGTCCTGTGCCACCGAGGGCACCTTCCACCTCCCTGTGGACACCGGCACGGAGAACAGAACCTACCAGGCTTCTTCTGCAGCATTCAGTAAGTAAACCTTTCCTTCTGGGGTTACTGGGGTGGTGGGTGCCTGTTTGCCTCCCCTGCTGGGGGGTGATGTGTGGACAGGGTGATTTGGGATCACAGAATTGAAGACTGGTTTGGGTTGGGAGGGAATTAAACATCATCTTGTTCCAACCCTTGTGGGCACCTTGCACTAGACCAGGTGGCTCCAAGCCCCATCCAGCCTGGCTTTGATAGATTAAAACCACAAAGGATCATGAAAAGGAGAGCACTGACCCTCCTGCTGCTCCTGCAGAGGAGGAATTCCAGTGGAGAAGGTGAAACCTCTCTCTTAGTTGAGTGTTTGATCCCTGGGAGCAACACGGGGTTGTTCACAGGTGTTTATCTCCAAAGGGACATTATTCCCCATTCCCTTAAAAATGAAAGAATTCCAAAATAAAGGCTGATTTTCAAGGAGCACTGCTGAAACTCCCACCTTGTAAGCCAGGCTGGCTGAGCAGGAGCAGGGGGAGGAGATGCCATTGAGGGATCACAGTCAAACAGGCTTTTCCAGTGCAGCCTTGTCATCTCACCCCTCAAGAGGATAGGCAGTGCCTCCAGCAGGGCTGATAAGCTCCCTGATAACCCCGGGATGCTTTCCCTGGTATGTGGGGTGTCCTCTGGCCCCTGCCTAATCTGGGACATGAGTGCTGTGAGGTCAGAGGGTTCCTCACCTTACAGCTACTCCAGGCTCCTTTTTCCTCCTAAATCCAATCAATTGCACAACAAAGTGAGAGGAAGAAATGTAATTTCTTTTTATTTAAAGAATTATTAAAAATAAATATTTTAAAAGTCTTTAGGAGACTTTCTCTTGGAAAAAGGATGTCCCTGTCATTCCTTGGGGTAGGAGCTGTACAATGGGCACGGTCCAGCCCTGGAGCAGCTCTGGTGCCTCCTCTGGACTCTGTCCAGCAGCTCCAGGTCTTTCTGCTGTGTCCCCAGGGCTGGAGGCAGCTCTGCAGGTGGGGCCTCACGTGAGGGAGGCAGAGGGGTAGAATTGTGGACATCCTGTCAGTTCCTTGCCCAGCTGAGGAATCCTGCTTGTGGTGAACCCTGGAAACAAGCAGCAACACAATATTCCCCACTGAGCTCTTTCCCCCCCCCCCCCACAAGAAGCCTTTTATAGAAAACCATTTCTGTGCACTTGTGAGCTGCAGGATCAATAAGGCTGAGATTTCTGGAGTGACATGAGGGATTTAATCAGCAATTTTAATAGAAGCTGGAGCTTAAAGGCTCGCTGCTGCTGAACCACAAAGCGGCAGCAGCACGGGCCACGCCAGCCTAATCCTAATAAGGCGTTAGTCATAATTAGGTTTTGAAATTATCTGCCAGACTGAGAGGAGCCTCCATCATCTTGTGTCATTAAACCTTGTTTTCACATTGTTTTACCTGCAGGTTGTTCTGTTTTTTCCCCAGTTTATAAGCACAGCAGATTACCTCTGCCTGGGTTATTGTGTTTTAATACCTTTTTAATATAGGAGATAAACTGTCTGTGATTCATCAATCAGGAAACACTGCAAGTCCTGGTATTCAAAGTAGTGAAACCACACAGGCTTGGGCAGGTCCACACCTCTAGACACCCCTCAGAAATGAAGTGTGACACTGAGAACTGGCAGCCTCTGAGGTATTTGTTTGAAAAATGAGTTCAGAATAGAGAAGAAAATCCATTAGATGTAAAACCAGGAGGTTGGTTGGTCTGTGGCTGACTGGGTTCCTGGAGGAGTCCTGATGGAGGAGGCTGCACTTCTGCTCTGATCAATATTTCAAACCTTTCCCACTTCTCATTGGAAGATTGTTGCTCTCCTGCTAATGTGAGCGAGGAAAAGAGTCACAGCTATTCCCCTTGTTAATTAACACCTATTTTTCCAATCTGCCGTAATCAGGAGGGGGTGAGATGCTGTTGGGGAGCTCCTAAAAGCTCCGTGTGTTCTTCGCCCTGTGGGGTATTAGACTTGAAATCTTGGTCATCTCTAATTGCTGAACACTGGTGGAGTAAATAAGTTAAACATATTTGAGTTAAATATATTTGAGTAAATAAGTTAAATATATTTGAGTAAATAAGTGAAATATATTTGAGTGTTTTGGCTGGGCTGAGCCTTGCCTTCTCCTCTCCATGCCACAAAGTCTTTGGAGCCTGTTTGCTTAGGGGATGGTTCCTCCCAGCCCTCCTGCCAGCCCTGAGCAGCCATGCCAGGCCCTGACTGGCACCCCTCCTGTGTCTGTGGCAGGGTACACTGCGGGGACTCCCTACAAGGTGCCACCAACCCAGAGTAACAACGCCCCTCCTCCCTACTCGCCGTCTCCGAACCCGTACCAGACCGCGATGTACCCCATCAGAAGTGCCTACCCACAGCAGAACCTGTACACCCAGGTAGGTGCCACCTCCTGTGCCCATCACAGTGCCTGCCCACAGCAGAACCTGTACACCCAGGTAGGTGCCACCTCCTGTGCCCATCACAATGCCCACCCACAGCAGAACCTGTACACCCAGGTAGGTGCCACCTCCTGTGCCCTTAGCCATGCCCCAACACACCCGAGTCCATTGGAGTCCAACCCACCCCTGCACACTGGTTGCTCTCCAATCCCAGAATCTGCCATTTGTCCTGTGAACCTTTGTAGCTCCTGAAAGAAAGAAGTGATGGAATAGTTGCCCTGCACCTCCTTCTCCCTTTAATCCAGACCTTCAGAGGTTCTCTAATGGGGCTTTCACTAATGCACAATAAAATCTCCCTTTTGCTGATTCAAATCCTTGTTTTCTTTCCTCCCATGCCTGGTTTGCAGGTCCTTACAGTGCTGCTGCCTGTCCTGGGGACAGCAGTTCTCTCCCTTGTGCATCTCCTCATTTCAGGCCCTTCATTACTTAGCATGTGAAGCTTTTTCTCCTTTTTCTGTTGGCTCCTTTTATTCCTGTGCATCCTTCTCCCCTTGTTTCAAAACCCTGCAGCCTGGATTTTGGAGCCCTGTGTGAAACCCAATTGGATGACCCAATACCTGGACCCAAGAACCATGGCTTGTCCTTTCCTTCCGTCTCTTGTTCCTTTTCTACACCAGCAGACGTTTGTGTCCAGGCCCTGTTTCATCCCATCAGAGGGAGGCAGCAGGGTCAAGGAGTGAATCCATCCAGGACAAACCCATTGAGGAGATCCTTTTAATAAATCCCTGCTTTATTCTTTAGCTCTGTTCCAGGGCAGCCTCCTCAAGGCATCCCAGGCACAGGAGCTCATCCATGGGAGCACCACCCACCAGCCCTCGGGCAGCGCTCGAGTTACAGAGCCGAGAACTCCTTAGGTTGGAAAAAACCTGGAATAATGATGGGATTTTGTTTTTTTCCCCTTCTCCACCAGGGAGCTTATTACACCCAGCCCGTGTACGCGGCCCAGCCTCACGTCATCCACCACACCACGGTGGTGCAGCCCAACAGCATCCCCTCGGCCATCTACCCCGCGCCCGTGGCCGCGCCGCGCACCAACGGCGTGGCCATGGGCATGGTGGCCGGCACCACCATGGCCATGTCAGCAGGTAAGGAAACCAACAGGGGTAAAAAACTCCCCCTGCGCCCCAGGTGCTGCCCTGCTTCACCTGCTGGGTTTGCTTGCTGGGTGCTGCTCCTGTGCAGGCAAAAATGCAGTCATTTACCCCAAATCTTCATCTGACTCAGCAGAGGAGACCTTTGGTTTGGCTCACTCCTGTGTCCTTCAATACATTATTCTGTATCCTTAAATATATTGTATATATTATATTATATATGATATATATTCCTCTCTCTGTTCTGTAAGTGAAGGAATAACCAGGCTGGTCCATCCTCAAGTAGTTTTATTTCCCTCAAGCTCTTTTCTCAAAGACACTTTTGGTCATGTTTTTGTTTGACAAAATGAATGTTTTTGTTTGACAAAATGAATGTTAACCTTGTTTTATCTATCCCTGTTCCTATACATTTTACATGCAGATTCTAACTGCAATTAATAGCACATTAAGTAAGATACGGGCTGGTTTTATTTTTTCCAAAGCCTGGGTTTTTCTCCTTAACAATTTGGAGGAGGAGACCTTTGGTTTGGCTCACTCCTGCATCCTTAGATAGATTTTTCTATGTCCTTAAATATATTGTCCCTTCCTCTGTCTGTTCCTTAACTGAAGGAATAACCAGGTTGGTTGATTCTCAAGTAGTTGTATTTCCCTCAAGCTCTTTTTTCAAAGACACTTATGGTCATGTTTTTGTTTGACAAAATGAATGTTAACCTTGTTTTATCTCTCCCTGTTCCTCTACATTTTACATGCAGATTCTAACTGCAATTAATAGCACATTAAGTAAGATAGGGTTTTTGGTTTTGTTTTTTTTCCCCAAAGCCTGTATTTTTCTCGTTAACAATTCTTGGGATTGTATATTGAATTATGCCAAGAAATGCATCATTCATCCTTTTGCATCTGCATTAGCTGTGAAGTAGGAGTCTGTAATGGGACACAATCCCTATTCCAAGCAGAGATATTGCAGCCTGGATGTGACAAGAACCACTCTGAGAGATTTACTGTTGCTTATATTAAGAAGTGGATAAATGTAATTAATGTATGTGGGATGTTTTAGAATTTCATTAATAACATTTGTAGAGAGATACCCAGAAACTGAGAATTTGGTTTGAGCACCCAGTTGCTCCCAGAACAGAGTAGTCCAGGGCTGTGTCCTCCCTCCCCATGAAGGCACTGTGCAAATTCTGACCTAAAATCCCTCTGTTGACCGGCTGCAGACTTAAAAAAAGGCTCATTTCAATTTTCCCTGGAGATTTGTTGAGTTTTTTTTCCTCATCTCCCTTTGCATCCCTCATCCCTTCCAGTTTGTTTCAGATCTGTGCAGTGATTTGCTGTCGCAGTGCTTTCAGCAGGTAGATGTCAGCAGGTTGTGGCCAGCTGTGCTTCCTGTCTTTAGGGACAAGGAACACTGGAAAAAAACCAAGGAAAAACCTTAAGGTTAAGAGCCAGAGCTAGCATGGAAAATCTGCTGGAGCTTCAGGTGTTCTTATTCTGTTTGTGGTGCTGGCTGATCCCAATCGTGTGGGTCCAACACCTTTGAATCGGGTCTGGTGGGCAGAGGAATTATCTGGGAAAAGGGGAAAGGGAGAAGGGAAAAAAGGGAGAAAGGAAAGGGGGGCAGCTGGTGCTGTCCCTGCTCCACTGTAGGCACAAATGCCAGCTCCTCTGCTCCGTGCCAAGTGTTTCCCTTCCCTGCAGGAACCTTGTTGACCACCCCCCAACACACCGCCATCGGAGCACATCCAGTGTCCGTGCCAACGTACAGGGCTCAAGGAACCCCCACCTACAGCTACGTACCTCCACACTGGTAAACCACTGGCCAATCCATGTGAGTGCTGCCTCCAAACCCCATCCAGCCCCACCTTGGGCACTTCCAGGGGCTTCTCTGGGCTCACAGGGAGGAATTCCTTCCGGTATCCCATCCACCCCTGCCCTGTGGCAGTTTGAAACCGTTCTCACTGCATCCCCTGACAAAGAGTCCCTCCCCATCTTTGTGTCCCTGGAATATTTCCTTTCCCCTGCTGGGAGATCAGGCTGTTCATTAGCACCGGGGTTGCGTGCACTGCCTGTGTGTTCCTGTCACGCCTGGGATCCCAGAAATCCCAGCTGCTCGTTCCTGCAGCCCTTGGCCCATCATGCCCAATTACCAGCACAGGCAGCTGATGGGAACACGATGCTGCCTGCCCGTGGAGAGCCCATCAGCCCCGGGGTTATCTGAAATCTCCCTGTGCCACACAAATTACACCGGGCTAATCCTGCCCCTCCCAAATTGGTGTGCAATTAGCAGGGAGCAGCTCATCTGCATATTTGTAATCCTCTGCGTTGGATAGCACGGGTGAGCTGCTGCTTTCCCAGCTCCCTGCCTGACAAATTGCCCACAGGGATGGTTAAATTCCGTATGGATCAGCTCCACGTGGTGCAGGGGTGCAGAGAAGACGAAAACATCCTTCTAACTCCCAGTTTTTAATGTATTTGCTGTCTTCCAGATCCGGAGTCAAACATTGTATGCAACTACACAAGTCTTACATCGGTGCTGCGGCCGCTGGGCTGCAGCGCCTCGTCTGTTTGCAAGAACAAAAGAAAAAAAAAAAGTGCAAGGGTCACTTTATGCATTCTTTAGTGGTTTTTGTAAAAGCTGCTTTTTCTAATCTTCTGCCTCTTTTTTCCCCCCCTTCCTCCCCCTCCCACATGAATTGTGTAACACACATACTGACACTGAGCAATAGTCGAGTTCTCTCTTCGGTCCTATCATTTGAAAGCTCAGAATCTTCACTTTTCCAGCATTGCCCAGCTGAGTGGTGCAAAGATCCCCCCACTTCTTGTTCGTTTGGGTTCTTTCTGTTCTTTTTCTGTTGTCGTTGTTGTTGACAAGAGCCTAGATTTTTTTTGGCTAGTAAGAGTGGTTGATGTTCAGGGTACTATGTGAAAAGCACAGCGCTGGTAGGCAGGCTTATTCCGATTTGGTTTGGGTATTTTTAGTTGAAGAATATAAATTATTCAATCTTTCATAACATATTACAAGAAAATTGGTGTCTTCCAGATAGCTGTCGTGATAGATTATAAATGCATTATCTGCAGTGGAATTCTGAACTCATCCCTTCTTTTTGTAGGAGTAAGAGAATATAAATATAATTAGCGACGTAACACACTTGTCTTAGGAAGCACGAGGACTGGTCACCAGCGGGTCTTTGGTCTGCTTTTTCCAACTGGGCACACGGATCACGGGTGATGGGAAGGGAGCAGCAGGAAGATGCATGCCCTGGGAGCATCTGGAACCCCTTGGGAGAACGGGATGCTCCCCTCAGCCACGTCCTGGGGCAGTGTGGGGAAGAAGGAGGCTCCTTCCTTGCGTGGCTGCTGCTTGCAGGCACAGATGTGCTGGGCAGCTGCTGAGGGAAGCAAGGAGATGTCCAAAGGTTGGGCTGGAGAGCTTCTCCAGGTCCAAGGATTGATCTGGAGAGCTTCTCCACGTCCAAGGATTGATCTGGAGAGCTTCTCTCAGTTTAGGGCTTGGTCTGAGGAGCTCCTCCAGGTTCAGGGTTTGGTCTGAGGAGTTCATCCAGGTTTAGGGTTTGGTCTGAGGAGCTTCTCCAGAGTATGGTGGTGTGGGAAAAGAGGGTGTCTGGTTGATGGAGATGAGTCTTCAAGGCAGGGCAAGGGGAAGATGGGTGGCTTCAGCTTGCACCCATGGTGTTGGCAGGTAAAACCAAACTGCACTGCCTCCATGGCAGTCCTCCAGTGTCCCCCTCCCGTTCTTTGGGTTGCAGCTCCAAGACTTCCAGGAGGAATGTTCATCCAAGCACAAATACCAGCACCAGGGAGGAAGGTCGGGGAGGGGGAGGATGTCTGGCTGCTCTGCTTGGAGGGGTGGCAGAGGAGGAAGCAATAGCAATAAACACGTCGCCTCCTTCACGGGAAGGCACCTGAGAAGAGGTGACAGCAGGGAAGGAGATCCACAGTTGGCGTGGAGCAGGATGGGGGACACCAGGCACGCAGAGGCTGTGGGCATCAGGGTCATTTGGAGGGGTTTGGCTTACCTGGGACGTGGGGACAGGGAGCTGGTGACATCCCCCCTCGGGGTGTCCAAGTAGAGCAATAAGTTGTCTTGAGGGCAGCAGAGGCAGTTTGGATTTGCAGACAATGCTTGTGGCCAGTTTGTTTTTAAATCCTTGTCACTAAACGCAGCATAGAAACAAGGTTTTTGGGACTTTTTTGGGTATTTTTTTAAAGACAAAGGCTTGGTTGGGTTTTGATTTTTGCCTCAAGTGTGCCAAAAGTGTTCCATGCTCTCGGTGGAGTCTCCCAGCTTGGCTTCTGCTCCTGGAGCTCCTTCCCTTGAGCATGAAGTGGGGAATAACAAGCCTAGGGGTCCCAGGAGGATTTTCCCTCCCTCTGGTTGGTCCCAGGAGTTTGTCAGGTTAGGTGTTGGCACTTCTGTTTGGGGGCGATTTGGTTGATTCTGCTGGTTTTGAAGGAAATCTAGAGCAAAGCTCTGGTTGATCTCCTCAGCCTCGAGAGGAACAAAGTGGGGGAAGACTGTGCTGTGGGGTGGGGAAGGGGCACCCTTGGGCTGCCCTTTGGGGTGGTATTGAGGGAAAGGAGAAGGAAAAAAGAGCCAATCATCAGTAGATTCCCTACTTGGCTTGATTAATAAAGAACAACAGACCTTGGGAAATAATACCAACACATCATCCTTGCACTGTTTGTAGCACATTGCAGTTAAACCTGGGCCAAAAAATCCCCAGATCCTAAGAATTGAAGAGTTCTGAGATGCCCTTTTTCCCCTCTCACGTTTGTGTTACACACCAGGAGCTGTCTGTCAGCATTGAGCCAGGTCTCCCAACATAATGGCACTCTGGTTTGTGGGGTCCCAGTGAGCTTTGGGATCCCAGCCTGGGCTCTGCAAACGACCTGAACCAGCAGACACCATCCCACCACTGTCCCAGACACCACTTCAGGAACCACTCCTAAAATTCTGGCCTGGGTGTGGAAAGGAGATGTTGGGCTTTGTCCTGGAAGGAAAAGAAACATTAAAGGTGGGGAGAAAGACCCAGGAGTGGAGCATGGTGGATCACCCAGTGTTCCCACTGACACAGGGCAGTTGGGTTTTGATTCCTCTGCTTGGATCAACAGCAGATCCAGAGCTCCTCACACCATCATTCCCAGGCAGAAATACTCATTAACCAAAGCGTGGAGAGGTGAAGTATTTGCCACCTGTTGGGCCAGAGGCTTTAGTGAGGACATTTGGTATCCAGCCTTGAGCCACTGTGGGGAACCAGGGCCACCACACAGTGCCAGGCTTGGGTGGCTCCTTCCCAAGGTGGGGAGATGCTCCCTGCCCTTCCCTTGCTCCCAAGTCCTTCCCTTGGTCAAGTCTTGGCTTAGCTGAGGGTCCTGGTAAGGTCACGGTGGGGGACACTGATGGGGGCCACCAGCTTCTCAGATATGTCATTCCAGCAAAGCTTTCCTGATGTTGGTTAAGGAAAAGGGATTTCCACAGTGAAGGATCACTCTGGGCATCAGTGGGAAAGAGCAGGAGGGGTTAAACCCTCCTCAGCAGCCACTGAAGTGTCTGAGATTAAAATTCCAGCTAAAGAGGAAGGAAAAATAACTCTGAACCATTAACCCATCCCAGACCTTACCTTTACTTCAAAACACAATCTGCAATGCAAGATTTGGGGGGAAAAATAGGATTTTAGTGGTGATGGTGACCCCCAAAGCCCAGGAGCCCCTTGAAGCCTGAGGCCATCATGCCTCCAAGTGGCTGAACCCTCCAGGCAAGGATTTGCTACTGCATTTTATGAATAATAAATCACTCAGTTCAGCATGGTTTCAGTTTTGGGATGTAATTCCCAGGAAATGTTATTTAAGGGGTTTGTTTTAATGAGGGATGTTCAGAGCATCAGGTTTTCCTCCAGCCCCCAGCATCCCACTGAATCTGGTCCTTCCCAGAGAGACCCCCTGACTCTTTGCCATCCCCTCTGGGAATGTGGGGATGATGTGGTTCCCAGCTGGAGGGCATCAAATGGGATCCTGGCTTTTCAGCAGGGTGGAAAACAACATTTGAGGCTTTATTTTTGGTAAAATCCAACCAGCCAACAATAGCAATAAGAGCTGCTGGATACCCATAAATCCAGGTATTTTTGATTTGGGCTTTTTTTTTTTTTTTTTTTAAATAGCCAATATTTTCAGGCCCTCCAGCTGTGGTGACCCTCTGCCCATCTTCCCTTCACTTTGCTCCCAAGCCAGGATCAGCCTCCAAATATTTTCTCTGCTGTCTTTTAGCATTCCCTTTGGGGGGAAAAAAAAGGAAATAAAGCCTGTGAGGGAGCTTGGGAGGGAGGAAGGAAATCTTGCAAAAGGCATTCCTGTGGCATGTTGCACCATGGCACTTGGAGATTCTCTGGCAATCAGGTACAAGAACTTGTGGGAATGTTTGCAGGGCAGGAATAGCAGAATTTGTGGTTTGACAGGAGCGATTCCCATTTGGAAGCGCTCGACTGTGCTGCTTGTAGGGAATAATCCTGATGCAACATGGCCACCTGCAGCCTCCCTGCATCCTCCTGCAAGAGATGGAATTTTCCAGGGGGAACAGGGGTTCAGGGTCAGGGGAGGGAGTTGTAGGGAAGCATGGCAAGGTGCAGGATCACACCCAAACCCTCCCATTCCCACAACACGGCCTCGACCCACACCAGGCTCCCGCCCCTCTTTCTATGTAATTCATTTTAAATTGATTTCAACCACCAGACCAGCTCATTTTTAAGTATTATTGGACCTCTTAAATAAAAATAAATACCAAAAAAAAAAAAAAATATTCCCTGAAAGAACAGCAACAAAAAACAATTTAAACCCAAGAGTAACCACGTCTTCCAAGTCTACATCTCACAGGTGTGTAGGGAACATGGCCTTGGACTGATGCCCTGGAGAGCCCCACAGCCTCAGTTTGTCCATCTGAAGTGTAAATTTGGGGTTGTTTTCCCGTTTGTTTTCTGTTCTGGTTTTGGTTCTGAAGATCAGGTCGTGATCTCCCTGACAGATTTCAGCCAAGAGTTTGTAACTGTACGATATTTACTGTAAGATGTAGAACATTCGATAACTATTAAAATGTTTCCAAAAAAAATTAAATAAATAAATAAAAGAGCCCGAGAGGGTTTGGTGGTGGGTTTTTTGGCACGGTGATGTCGTGGGGAGGTGAATGGGACCAGCCATAAACCCTTTTTTGGGTTGATGGTTGAGGCTGATGGTCTCCAACCCAACATTGGGTGGGTTATCCCAGTGATCCCAACAGGGCCAAGCCAGCGTGATCCCACAGAAGCAATTCCTATGGAAAGTGAAATGTGTCATCTGCATGGTGAGCATCACCACCGTGTGCTCCTGAACTGGGACTTTGGAGAGAGGATGGATGGATGGATGGATGCAGGAGACCAGCAATCCATGCCCCAGCTGGGCTTTTGGGAAGGGAGGAGGGGAGGAGTCACTCTGTGATCCAGTGATTCATTATCCTGCGATGCTGAGCACTGGCACCAGGTGATGCAGGGAAATCAGGAGTTCATGATGGTCCTGGAGAGTTCAACACACCCAGAAGGTGACCACGAAATGGCATCCAGTGCCCTCTGTGCTTCCAGTGGAGCTGTGTGGTGGCATCATGGTTCCCAGAGATGATGGTTCCTGTGGCCACCACCCCTGGCATCGCAGCTCCTGGAGTCACCTTCTATGAGGCCACCACGCTGTGGCCACCACCAGGCCTCAGGGACAGAGAATCCTTGTCACCAGCCAAGCGAGATGCTGGATTTGCTGTGCTGCCCTTGGACACCCTGGTGGCAGGAGCAGGAGCTGAGCTGCCACCTCCAGCACCTGGCAGCTCTGAGCAGGACTGGCTTTCACACAGCACCCGGCGTCCTCCACCCCTCCACGGGGTCTTTGTGGCTGTCACCTACAGTAGGAGTCCTAGTAAAATATCTGTATTGTATTTGAATATCTGTATAATATCTGTATACAGGCCTTGCCCTGGTGAGCCCTGGTTGCTCTTGATGGGCTGCAGCTGTGGCTGGTGAAGGTAACTGGGATAAAAGGGGGTGGGCTTGGCCAGTCAGGGACAGCCTGGAAGGAGCCCTGGCTGAGAAGCAGCACCAAGCAGAGGAAGGAGTCTGTGCTGTGAAGAACTGCCCCCAAGGAATATCACTGAGAAGGTATGGGACTCTAGAAATATGAAATACAACAGTCACCGAGCCCCGAGGCAGCCCCCAGGCCAGGTGCCCACTGTGGAGGACAAGGGATGGACCACAGGTGAGCCTGGATTGGCCCCTTTGCACCACCCAGGGTGGCAGGGGCCACTCACTGTCACCCATCCGTGGCTGTCACTACCCAACCCGAACCTCCCCTGGCACAGTTTGATGGGGCTGTTTCCCCTTGTCCTGTCCCTGTTCCCTGGCAGCACAGCCACAAGTTCCCCCTCCTCCAGGCTGAGCCCTTTCCCAGCTCCCTCAGCCTCTCCTGGAGCTCCATTCCTCGCCCTGGCCACGCTCCAGCCCCTCCATGTCCATGTCAAGAGGCATTCAGAGCTGGATGGTCACAGCAGCAGCAGCAGGAGGGGACACGGGGATGTGAGCGAGGGCACGTGAGCCCCTGCAGCTGCCCATGAGTCAGGGAGCAGCCCCCGGCCGAGGCAGTGCCAGCCCGTGCCAGGCCCTGCCAGCACCCTGCAGCCGGGGACGCCCTCCCGCCTGCCTCGCTGTCCCCACACTGTCCCCACGCTGTCACTGCTGCATTTCCCCGCCTTCAGAGCCCCTTTGTCCCCTCACCTGGTGGAGCCCTTGGTGCTGTCCCATCACGGGTCACATCCCGCCGCCAGCGGGGAGGGCACCACGGAGGGGCTCCCCCCCGGCCTCGCTCCTCAGCTCCGGGATCCGGGACACCCGGAACCTGTCGGGGAGCACCACGTCAGCCCGTCCCCCTGCAGAGGGGACACGCACCAGGGGCTGTCCCTGCCTACCTGCCGATGGAGAGGATGGTCACCTCGCTGGGATGAGCTCCGGGTTTGGGGGCTTTGGTGGCACCGAGCGGTGGCAGCACCTCGGGCCACTTCTGGTCACAGCGGGCACACGGGGCCGGGCCCTGCACCGTGTGCAGGTGCTGCTGGTGGTGGCAGGCGGGGGGAAACTGAGGCAGGAGGTGCAGCCTGGGGACGGGGGAACGCCATCAGCATGGGGGTGGCCCCACCATGGGGGGTGCTCAGGGCAACCTCTTACTTATTGAGGGGGGCACAGCTCGGTGGCATCAGCTGCTGCCTCTGGTGCTCCTTCAGCAGCTCCTCCAGCGCCGCTGCATTTTCTGTGTGTGACACCAAGGATCTGGGGGTCACGGGGCTCTGGCCCAGGTCACCCCCTCCTCCCCCTTCCCGGGACCCCCTGACCTTTCTTCTCGGTGATCAGGCGCACCAGCACCCCGATGGTGTCCTCGTTGGCATCCTCCAACTGGTAGATGGAGCTGGCACCTGGAAGCAGAAGTTAGGGAATACTCGGTGATGGGGGATGAGGCACCCCAAGGACACGCAGGATGCCCTGGGACAAGGACAAGAAACCACAGGAATGGTTTGAGCAAGATGAGACGGGCGTGGGCTCACCGGTTCCGGCGGGCTGGGGCTCCTTGCTGGCGGTGCAGTGATAACCCTTCTTCTTCAGCAGGTTGCACACCAGGATTCCCAGCAACCCCATGGCACAGAAGACCGGCACGATGGTCAGCACGGCCGCCTGCGCCGCTGCCGCCTCCTCCTCCTCCTCACCCAGCAGGGTCACGCGTGTCCCGTTGGTGCCCGGTGTCCTGCCCGGCATTTCGGGGCTGCGGGCTCGCCGCCCGCCTGCGGGGAAACAGGGATCAGCCTCACACGGGGGCTTTGCTGGGATTAAACCCCATTTCCACAGGGAAGCAGAAGCCGCTTGAGTCGGGAGCAGAGGTGTCCTCAGCTGCCAGGACATCCCGAGGGGGACGCACATCCCCGGCTGCAGCACCCACCTGGGCAGCCCGGGGTGCTGCGGGGAGCGGCGGCGCAGGGCAGGCACCGGCCCCGGGGCTCCCTCTCCCCTCCGGGGCTGTGGAACCTGCGGGGCGGGACGGGACGGTCAGGACACGGCCCCGGAGCCCGGGCTGGGCCCGGTGTCCGGGCTGGGCTCACCCCGGCAGGCAGGCTCCGCAGCGGCTGTCGCTCGCCGCCGTCCCCGCCGCCACCAGCACCCTGTTCCCGGCCCGGCACTGCGTGTGAGCGGCGCAGGACGCGTCTCCCAGAGAGAAGGTGCCGGGGGGACAAGCTCGGCACGCCCCCGATGGATCCTGCGGTGGGGCAGAGAGAGGGGGTGAGCCGTACCTCCCATAGCCACAGCCGGGCTCGGTTTAACCCCGCCGGGCTCGGTTTAACCCCCCCGGGCTCGGCTCACCCCGCTGGGCTCCTCTCCGGGCGGGCATCCCGCCGTGCCCGGCTCCGGGGCGCTGCAGCTCCCGGTTCCCCGGGCAGGTCCGCTCAGCACCTGCGGGGGATCAGAGCGCTCAGAGCAGCCCCTACTGTGGCTCCGGTGGCACGGTGGCAAATGCCACCCTCTGGCTTGCCCCACAGCCAGCGGATGGATCTCGCCAGCGGGGTGAGGGATGTGAACTCACAGGATGTGCCAGGGCGGATGCAAACCCGTCCCCATGTCCTGTGTGGTGATGGGGTGATGGTGGAGCATCAGAGAAGCAGAGGAATGGGATGAGATGGGACAGACGAGGCCATACTCACCCCCAGGACAGTGACAAGCCACCAGCGCATCCCACTCCTCTTCATCACCTGCTCATCTTCATCACCTTGGAGAGACCTGCCCAAGGAGGAGCAACAGAGTCATCATCCAGGGAAAGCCCCACTGGAGAAGTAATTCGGGGGCCCTTTTTCTTCCTTTCATCCCTAAATGCCCCTACTGCTGCTGTAGGGGTATTTAGGGATGCTGCCTAACCTGACCACTCCTGAACCATCCCCCAGAAAATTGTTTCAGAGATTTTATGGAATGGCCAGCATCACCCCTTCCCTTGGAGACCCATCCCAAACCAGAGAGAGACCAACCTCACACCATTCATGCAAGGAGCAGATGATGCTAAACCAAGTTAAAGAAAGGGTTTTTTCCTGCTCCGGAGGAAATCCTTTTGCATCTGTCACAAGGAAATGAAATCACTAAAACCGATTTAAAAATATTTAAATAACAACTCAAACAAAACAAGAGGTGTTTCCCAGAGCCGCATCCATCCACGCTTTGGGCTCAGCAATTGGTTGGTAAAATTAAAATCTATGCTGACAGCATAGGGGAAGGAAGGAAAAAATAAATAATCACCCAAACCCGGATCCTGCCGCCCTCATGGAAATCCTGCCGCCCTCATGGAAATCCTGCCGCCCGCATGGAAATCCTGCCGCCCGCATGGAAATTCCCCCCAGGTCGTCACAGTCCTGTGAGAGCCCTGGCAGAGCCTCATTACAGCCTGGGCCTGATGAGTTTCTCCTAATTAGTGGCCAGCACCACGGTGAGATGCAGCTAATTCCACATGAGGGGGGTCCTGGGGGTGAGCTGGGTGTTTATAGGATGTGGGTTGGGACACCCAGAATGAGCAGGACCCAAAATGAGCATCCTCTGTACTCCGGTTTCCTCCCAAACTGAGATGTCTGGGGAAGAAATGGCCTCAGGAGGGGACAGGAAGGTCCCACCGTGGCTGAGGGACCACGAGCATTCCAGATCAGCATAACTGGATCTAAGCACCACCAGGAGCAGGGGTAAAGCTGATTTGAGGCCAAGCTTAATCCAGGGATTAAGGGCATCCCTCAGATGAACAAAACACTGCCATAGGGATGCAGGAGCTGCAGGGAGCAGAGGGTGCCAGCTCCTGCTTGGCACTGGAGCTTTGCCCAGGGCTCAGCACCCGCTTTTGGGGGCCATCCCGAGTGGGGATGGGGTATGCAGGCACAAATCCCCAGCTGCCCTGACGCACTCCTCAAACCGACAGAATATAACCCCACAGTGCCAGACCCGGCTGTTTTTGGGGACACTCCAAGCGCCGAACCCCACCTGACCTCTGCACCAGTGCCAACACAGCAGAAGAGGCCGCTCGGTGTTGGAAACCTCCCCAGACCCCTCCGGATCACATGAGCCGTGCATTCCCAGCTCCCCGTAATAGAATCCGTAACCCAAAGCTGCCCGCCGGGATTCCAGCCAGGGCTTCCCCTCCCCGAGGGGGAACAGGGCTCCAGCCGAGGCTCCTGCAACAAACGGAGGGAAAAAGGAGCAACTGCTCGGGAAAACTTCGGGGAGCAGCTGCTGGATGGAGACTGCCCGGCACAAGGAGGGGATTGTCCGGCAGACGGAGCGAAACTCGGTATATCGCACTCCCGGGGGAGCGGTGGGAACGACCGGGACGCCACGAAATTCCAGAATTAAAGTCAAAGCATCCCCAGGGAGCGCTGGGGCGGCGCTCGGCCCCGCAGCGGCACGTCCCGGCCCCGCAGCATCCCGGCCCCTTGGCTCCGAGCCCTGGCATTTTCCAGCTCCGGCAAAAAATAAAAAAGGGGAAAAAAAGAAAAAAGAGAGAGACCCGACACGGCTGCTACCTTTTTTCCCAGCTGAGTGTTCCTTAACCTACTTTTCCTCCTCTCCACCCCTTATTTTAACCTACTTTGGCGCTGCAGCAGCCGCAGCCTCCCGGACCCGCGGGGCTCCCCCACTCCCGGCGGGGGTCCCCAAATGTCTTAGGGATACAACGAGACAAAAACACCGCGCACAGCGGGGCTCGAGCACCCCAAAAAGCACCGCACCCCCGTCCCGGCACAGCCCAAAGGTGCGGGAACCCGAACCCCAGAGCCCGCATGGGGGATTGGCCTTTAGAGGGGAATATCCCGAGCTCTCCCCGCGGGCAGAGGGGGGTCCCTGTCCCGGGGGTGTCCCGGGGGTGTCCCCGGGGGTGTCCCCTACCTGTCCCCTACCTGTCCCCGCCGCGGAACCCCCGGGCTGCCCCCGGGGCGGCCCCGTCGCTCCCGCCTCCTCCGTATGAATGAACCCGCGGGCGCGCGGCTCGCTAGCCCCGCCCGCTCCGTGACGTCACGCAGAGAGGCCACGCCCCTCTGCCCTCACAGCAGCGCCACCTCCCGGCCGCGGCGGGGACTGCGGGAATCGCGGATCGCGGCCGGCGACTGCGGGATTTGGGATGGGCTTTGTCCCACCCGCGAGGAAAACCGGAACGACCGGAGCGCGGTGAGTGTTACCGGCACAGCAGGAACTTAAATTAACAAGGAAAAGGGTTGGTTTTGTTTTCTTCCCCATGTGGGCTCGCATGGGGCATCCCTGAGGGCTGCGGCCCGCTTTCCTACCTGTCCTACACTGCACCTTGTCCTGTTCCCTAGGGGACACAGTGGGGACACCCGGTTACCGTCAGGCCCCCTTCTGTTCCTCTCGGTTTTCCCCAGGACGACCTGGTGTCCCCTGTTGGGCTGTTTGTCCACCCGGGGAGTGCCACGTCCCGGTGCCCTATGGCACACGGGATGGATATCCTGGTATCTCCCTCAGGGTTTTCCAGGACTGAATAACTGCACCCTGGTGGTGGAAAGGGTTTCTTCCTCCCACCGGAGTCTTCATCACCAGTGGCACCGGTGGGTGGTGGGAGCCGCGCCCCTCCTCACTCCGTCCCTGCCACCCCATCCCGAGGTGAAGGACGAGACCACGCTGGGATCGTTCTGCCACGGGTGACCTTTAATGACAAAGAGCCCCCAAGTGACCGAAATCCCCCTTCCCCACCCCTTTCCCAAAATGTCCTCGTGGTCCCAAATACGGCCCACGCCCACTCACCCCGCTGACGGACAGACGGACGGCTCCATGTGGGATGGCAGCATTGCTGTCACTCACCCAGCTGTGTGGGCTTGGGGACACCCTGATTCATCCCTGCCACCACGCTTGTCACGTCTCCCATGGGGACAACAGCGTGTCCCAACCGGGGAGCACGGATCTCGCCTGGATCCTGGGGTGAAAGCAGGAAAATCGGGGAGGAAAAGGGCACAGGGGGCAGGGCTGGTCCAGCACAGTCTCGTTTTTAGGATGCCCCACATTGTAAGGGTGGGGGGCCAGCCCTGGTGGCTGGAGATGATTGTTCTCATCCAGAGACGCTTCACACGGCAGCGGCGCCTTCATCCCACTTCCCAGGCAGCACAATCCCACTGGGAATCACAGAGAAGGAGGGGGGGACACCCAAATTTCCTTCCCTCCTCCCCTCCATCAGCTCCCCCTCCAGCGGGGTCGGGCTCTCCCTCGGGGCGATGCTCACTCCGGGAAGTTTTAACCCCTCAGGGGCTGGCAGCGCGGTGATGAGGCCCCTGAGCCCTCCCCGAACCCCAAATAAATAAGGATGTTTATATATATATATAATATATATATATTTAAAACAAACGAACAAACGAACAGAGCTGTCTGGGTGCTGGCGATGGAGCGAGCGGGTTAGCGGGAGGCCCGGGCCGGGGGGGACACCGCGGGCAGACTGGGACCGGGATCGGGATCGGGATTGGGATTGTCCCTGGGCTGGTCCCGCGGCGTGGCCGGGGGTCCCGGGGGCCGGGGGGGCGGCGCCCCCCGCCCCGTGAAGCAGGCACACACAAAACCGGAGAGCAAGGCAGGATCCTGGCTGTCGGGCATCCTCCGGCCGCTCCCCAGGGATGCTCGGTACCCTCCTCATCCTCCTCCTCCTCCTCCTCCGCAGCGCCTTCCCGAGCGAACCCCCGCCCCCTCCCCATCCTCTGGAGCCCCCCAAGCGCTGCGGGTCCCCCCCGAGTCCGGGGGGCGGCGGGGGCAGCGGGGCTCATCCCCCCAGCCCCGAGCACACAGAGAGCAGCCGGGTCGGAGATGAGAGGTGCTGGGCGGGGGGCGCTGGGGAGGGGGCCGGGACCCCCCTCGGCACACAGGGGGGGCCGGCGCCCCCCGATCCTGGCCCGGGCAGGTCACGCTCTCCAGAGCAGCAGGTGGTTGGTGCTGTCGTCCCTGCCCACGGTCTCGCTGCTGCTGGTCAGCCGGAAATCCTCGTAGCCGTCGCCGCCGCTGATCACCAGCATCTTGGGCTTGGACAGCGCCAGGGCGGGGCCGCGGGGACGCGACGGGTCTCGCTTCTCCGCCTCGCTCGGCTTCTCGGCCCCTGCCAAGGGCAGAATGCCCCAAACGCGGTCACCTGTGTGCCCACCGCTGTCATCTGTGTGCCCACAGCTTCCCAGCTGTCACCTGTGTGCCCACAGCTGCCCTGGTCCCCACCAGAACTCCTCAGCATCAGCCCTCCACCGCCTTCCCAGGCCCCACATCCCAAAACCTCCTCTCATCCCAACAGCCCCTCCCAGCCCAAACTGGGCCCCCAAATCAGCTCCTCCATCAGAACTGCCAGCTCCCATCCCATCTCCTCCTCCTCCCCATCCCAGCCCTGCTTCAGAGCTGGGAATTTGGGTCTCCCTGGGAAATTGGGGGTTGCCCATGCTGGCAGAGGGCAGCTGAGCACTCAGTTTCTCCCGCCCTCCACTGCCGGTTTTTCACCCGGGATTTGGACAAGGCAGGAATGGAACGGGGACTCTGACATTCCACTCCCAGCCCCACAAAGGCCGTGCCCTGCTCCCGGGCAGTGCCAGGAGTGGGACACAGCAGCCACCCCCCGTACCGGTGTCCCTGGGCAGCGGGAAGAGCACGTCCAAGCCGTCGGGCAGCTCGATGGCCGTCAGGAAGCGCACGTGGCCCGTGTGGCCCTGGGACAGCCCCACCAGCGTGGGCGCCGCCTTGGGGGGCACGGCCAGCGTGAGCACCACGCCGGCGCTGGTCCCGATCCACAGCAGCTCCTTGCAGGCCAGCAGGGCCGTGATCCGCAGGCACGCGGCCTTGTGCTGCCGGATGATGGCATCCGAGCCTGCCGGGCATGTCCCTGTCAGTGCCTGCTCCTGCCCCAGGGGGTGGGAACCCCCCTCCCACAGGGATCCACTCCCAGGGGATCTGTGTGTGGCACATGGGACGTGGGGAAGGGAGCTCACATCCCCCTGGCTGGTGGCATCACAGTGGGGTGACAGGACAAGGGGGAATGGCTTCCCACTGCCAGAGGATGTCAGGAAGGAATTGCTCCCTGTGAGGGTGGGCAGGCCCTGGCACAGGGTGCCCAGAGCAGCTGTGGCTGCCCCAGGATCCCTGGCAGTGCCCAAGGCCAGGCTGGACAGGGCTTGGAGCAGCCTGGGATAGTGGAAGGTGTCTGCCATGGCAGGGGGCTGGAATTAGATGATCTGTAAGGTCCCTTCCAGCTAAAACCATTCTGGAATTCCCTGATTCTGTGATTGTGGATTACCGCCCCTCCATTCCCCCTGGGGCTGCCCTATTCCCACATGGGATTACCCAGCTGCCCAACAGGAGCACAAGGCCTTGCATCTCCTTCCCCAAAGGCAGCATCCTCACTCTCCCAGCACCGGATCCCTCAGGGCATTTCCCAGGGGCGCTGGCACCCTCTGGAGTCGTGTCCCTTCCCGGGTGTCACTGACCTGCGAGCATCTTGTGCACCGGGGGGGTGATGTCTGCCTCTGCCAGCTGCTCGTAGGTGGTGGCGTGGTACAGCCTGACCTGGGCGCTGCCCTGCAGGGCCACCCACACGCCGCTGCCCGCGCTCACCATGCAGGTGACGCTGCGCCCGCCGTCCTGCCCCACCTGCAGCGTGTGCTGAGGGGACAGACGCCACCAGTGACGCCACCGGTGATGCCACCGGTGATGCCACCAGCGCCCATCACACCTCCCATTGCTGCCCCCTGTACCTCCTGTGCCAGCGTGGTGGTGTTGAGGACGATGACTCGGTTTTGGCAGCCGCACCACAGCTTCCCTGCCACCGCCACCATCTTGGTGATGGGGCTGCCTGGTGAGCCCAGTGACAGGGACTTGGAGTTCTGGGGGTCCCAGAAGCGGCCTGAGAGGGTGGGCAGAGTGGGGTGGGTAAGTTAAAGCGTTCCCAAAAACAAGTGCAACTTGACAATGGCAGGCATTCTGGTGGCTGAAGACAACTTTCTCCAGGTCACCCCTCAGAGGGAACATAAATTGGTGCCACCATGGGGTTCCAGTGGCAGAAGAATGCCCAGCTCCACCTGCCTCTGAGGTGGTGTCTCCAGCATCCCTCCAGGAATGCCACCCCGAGCATCCTCCCCAGGGGCTGCCCAAGCCACCCTCCCACAGCCACCACCTTGGGACTGCATCTCTGATATCCCAAATCCAACCTCACCTGCTTCCCGCTGGTACACGACGAGCTCCCCGTTGGCCAGTGACACAAAAACCTGGTTATCCAGGTACCTGTGGGCACAAACCACCTTTGACATCCAGCTGCAGAAGCCCCAAATCCCCAGAGCTGAAAATCCCCCTTCCTTCCCCACTCACAGGATGCACATGACGGCAGCAGCGTGCTGCATCTTCATGCTGTTCTTCCTGTTCCGGATGTTGTCCGAGGACTGGTACACGTGGATGCTGCAGGAGGAGAGCAAAGCCTGAGGCTCCCCCAGGGCCTGGCGTGAATTCCAGGCAGGAATTCCCACCCCGGGGACCTACCAGCCATCCTCGGTGCCCAGCCACATGGAGCTCTGGTGGGCCTCGGGGTCGAGGCTGAGCAGGTCCTCGAGGCTGCCGCGGGTGAAGGAGCCGCGGCTGGAGCGGCGCAGGGCGCGCCCGTCCGTGGGGCTCTCGCCGCGCCGGCTCTGCCCGAAGGTGCCGGGGATGGGCATGAAGCCAGGCTCCTGCTCCTCCTCCGAGCTCGTCGTCTCCACCGCTGCCTCCTTGCAGCTGGGAATCTCCTCGTCTGCGGAGGAGGAAGAGGAGGAGGATGGAACGGGTCAGACCACGACCTCCAAAGTCACGGGGAAGAGACCATCCTGGGTGATGTCAAGCCCAGGGATGCTGAGCCCCAAAACCCACGAGGCTTCACCCAAAGTCCCCCCATCTCAGAACCACACTGTTGGGCCGATGCCTCTCAGCATCTCTTCCCTCAGGCCCAAAAGCCT